CACAATACTAAAAATTCAAAATTTTTTCTTTCCTTGAAGAGAGTGGTGAGAACAAATATGTTTCTTTATTTCTACCTTCGTCTCTGACCCAATGTATAGAAGATATGAAATGCAGAACTCACGGAGTTCCTTATTATGTAATAATTTCTATTTGCTATTGGAATGTGAAAAAGATAACAAACAATGGCCTAGAACAATCCTTTTTCTTAAACTAAATTAAGAAGTGTGGTGAAATATGTATGATCCCTAGTCTCCTTCAATCTTTATCAGCTGTGTGTTGCATTATTGCAACAGTGCATACATGTGATCCAACTGCCTAAGCACTGCATATTTTCAATACCAACACCATTGATCTCAAGTTAAAATAAGGTCAGCAGCCTCATGGTACTGGGAGATCTAAAATCCTGGATGATAAATGTGAAATGCCTCCATTTGAATATAGGGAAAATGGTGAATCTGATCCAATGTAAATGCCATGTCATGAAGACCTGAATACATTTTTGTATATACTTCAGAATTCATGCACAATAACAACTCCATGAGGCAGCCATTCTTAAGAAGCTGATAATCACTCGGGTCGTTAGCAAATTTCCTATCTCTTAAGGAAGGTGAATGTTCATTACCCTTTTTACAACAGCCTACGCATGGACTCTGGCCAGAAAATCCAGTTCATATCCTCAAAGCTAATTTTCTAACCCTACTAGTGCTTGGATTTAGATTTCAAGATGCTTTCCACAGCCCTAGTTTTCCTGGCCCTTGAAAATTGTGATGCATTTCTTAAATCAAAATGTATATTTCCACTATATTTTTGTTTTGCTCTAAATTCATAGAACAAAGAGTAGATGAAAACATCAAACACCATCCTTACATGCATTTTATCCCCCATTATGCACTTAAACCACTTTGTATAACTTATAAAATATCACCTGTTATCTGTTTTGGAGGTACGTTAGTGTTCAGTGGATAAGTGTTTTCACCATTCTAATGCAACATTTCTATTCTTGCCTTCTATCCTACATATACGCTGCTACAATATGTTAGCAATGAGCTCTGCTGGCAATCAGCAGGTAACAGCATTTTATGGATTTTTGATAATTTTTATTGAAAGTAACACTGTGTTCAAAATGCAACTAAACTGACATGGCAATGCAACAATTTTAGTAAGAATAACTACAACTGAGGATGGCTGTGTGAGGCCGAAACATGTTGTAAACATTCAATGTTGCAAGCAATGAAAGAAATACTATTTACACTATATACACATCTGTGTGTGGAATTGCTTGAAATAGGGAACCTTATATAGTCCAATGTCACACTCACTACATACACAGTATAACGGCTAGCTTTCCCCTTCCTAGGGTTAACACCAGAAGATGTACATGACACTTCCTCATTGTGTTCTTTCAGCAAGGCATCCTAGGTACATAATGTGGAAAGTGGACATTCTGTCAGACATTCAGGGATTTCCCCATTTAAATATCTTCTACTTCATGATAAAATTCTTCTGCCTTTCTGAAATAGTTAAATATTACAAGCAATAAAAGTAACACTATTTACACGACATACACATCTCTGTTTAAGTCTTTTCAAAACTTTATCTCTGCATGAAATTGCTTGAAATAACATAGTACATCATATCCACTACATACAATATTGGCTGGCTTTCCTCTTCCTATGGTTTACACCAGAAGATGGACATGATACTTCCTTACTGCATTCTTTCAGCAAGGAGTGCTAAGTACTAAGGGCGTTCTGTATATAATGCCTATTTTTTTTTAAAGAAAACTACAACAGATACAGAAATCATAATAACGCAGTTAAATAGAGCGAGATTTCAGCTACTTACAGCTATTTTTCCACATAATCACCATCATTCGTTATGCACTTTTGCCTATGATGAACAAGAGCCTGTATGCCATGCCGTGCCTATAAAAGTCTGCGCCAGCAGAGGCTAGCCACTTTCTTACAGCTGCAATGACAGCATCGTTGTCTGGAAAATGTTGCCCACGTAGTCCGTCTTTCATAGGCCCACAGAGATGGAAGTCTGAAGGTGCTAAATTGGGGCTATAAGGTGGATATGGTAGGACAGTCCAGCCAAACTTTGCAATGTGCGCGGTGGTTGCCAAACTGGTATGGGATCTAGCATTATCGTGTTGCAAGCGTAAGGTTGTCTGCTTCTCTGGCCTGACTCGGGAAATACGGGCTTTCAGCTTAGTCAGCATCATCTTGTAGCGTTTAGAATTGACAGTCCCTGGTCGTTATCTGCTGATCTGTTCGGATGAGGCGCTGTTCATTGTGAGAAGTGGCAGCTGAGCAGGGACGCCCATGGCATGGCTTGTCGTGCACTTCACTTTTGCCACTGTTGAAACGCACTACCCACCGAATCACTGTGCTGACATCCACTGTCTCCATACACCTTTAGCAAGTGTCGATGGATGTCAATGGGTACAATTTGTTCGGCAGTGAGAAATTCAATAACACATTTCACTTTCATACACACTTCTATGTCAGCCGCCATTTTGATAGACTGCTCTGCTGTCGCTATCTGTCGCACGACAACCAAATTAACAGTACATTGGCGGGAAGGTTCAACCTTTACTACAACACCACCAACATCCAGCTCAGACGTTACATATTAACACAAAAAAAATAGGAGGCATTATATACGGAACGCACCACGTATATAATCTGGGAAGTGAAAGCCTGTCAGACATTCAGGGATTTCCCCATTTGACTGCCCTCCACCTCTGGTTGAAATTCGTCTGTCTTCATGTATATCCAGAAGCCCTTGGATAACATTCATCTGAATATCTGGAAGAAGTATCTTTTTTCTTTCTAAATGAGACATAGTGCCTGTACACTAAACAATGCTACATCAGGAATGTGAAGTGCCAATTTCTTCTACCATTTCACAAATTTACAAACACACTAAATTGAGCCCGACTGCATTTCATTCTGATCTACTGCACTCATTTCATTGCTATAGTCTTCAATATATTTTGACTTCGGAATCTGCCCCATCCTCTAACAGGATCATTCCTTGCAGTATTCAGAATCTCATCTGAATGGTGAAAAAGCATTCTCATATCCTATCTGTCACACCCCTTCATGGCCATAAGTGAATCACTGATCACTGACTGTACTTCACCTGATGAAAGCTTGTACCAGGGAACTGGGCTTCAGATTGTAACGAAACAGGAATGATGAAGGACTGGTATACCTGTTACCAGTAAAAACTGAGTAACCTTTATTCAAATATGGTCCAGTCAGTGTCTTGGCCACAGGTCCTGATGCCCTATATCAGGATTCAATTCAATGTTATGTATTTTGCTGCAGATTTAGTTTCATAGTCATACTGCAGGTAAAACTTTATTCCAAACCTATGCATTTTTGTTTTATGTACTGTCTGAAATATAGCCCTCGTTTGAAAAGTGCTGAACTTGTCGAGGTAACTGCGTTGGAAAGGAGTGAAACTATTCTGGAATACATTCAGACTGTCACAAACAACACATGCCTTTTGAAGTCAGTCTCCTCCTATATGTTCTTCACTATTTGGGGGGGGGGGAATTTCTGAGAACTGAAAGGTATTTGTCTCCTACGACAGTAACCAAGAAAATTTAGGAACTGAGTACTACATCTTTGGACCAGTATTCTTTCAGAAAGTTACACTTATTTCTACCCATAAACAACAGCACAGCAATGAAAGTGTACATTACATTTCTGGTTGTACCTGTCCACCTTTCCGAAGGTAAATCACTTTTATCACTATAAAAAGAAACAAATCAAATTCACTTTCATCATACTTTGAAATCATGTGACGTGCACACCTGTTGGTCTCCATACTAAAAGCATCCAAAATATGATCAGCAACTTATGTCCTGAAATAATCCACTTCTGTCAAGTCTTCAGTAAATATACTACAGTTTAACATGTGAGCTTCAGGCATTGAACTCATGAACTGCTGGAATGAATGTCACATTATTATTCCAGCTCAGCTTAGAAACCAGTGGATTTTCATTGGAAACCTTCTTTCATTTAATCAACTACTGTTTCTTTATCAGTATCTGAATATGACTGACTGAACATTCTATAAGAGCTTCTTTCAATCCACAGTTTTGTAGAGTTTTCTTTGAAGCATGGAATGCCCCTGCTTTCTGCATGAACTTGCACCTCTTTCAGCTGTCATGATTCGTGATTTATAAGATTACTACATTTCCCCCAGTATTCGCAAATAAAAGCTGTGGCCTTACAAGCAAAACAACTGTTTCAGTAAGGTGTTCCCATGATTCTCAATACATGCCACAAGCATATTAGGCTTCTTACCAAGCTTCCATTTGTGTAAGACCACTGTGCTGTGCTGACAAAACCTTGAAAAGTGTATGTGTTCACAGCATGCTGTAACAATGCACTGACACTAGTGGTGACAGTACAATTTCGGCCCCAAAGAAGTAAAGATCCACTTTAATATTATCCTTCAATCTAGACTTACATCTCCTTCCTTTAGGTTTGTCAATGAAAATTTTGTATGTGAATGACTGAAATGGGAAGCAACTATTACACTACTTTCAAAATTTACACTACTTTTTATTAGTTTCATATGAGATGTCATTCCATATATAACCTGAATTCTAAAATTCTATGTACCGACTTGAAAGTTCTGATAAAACAATTCTGATGCATTGGAAATGGGCATTTCTTTTTTCTTTTTTTCCAGAACCCACCATACAAAACTTAATTTTGTTCTGTTCTCACAAATTGTAGTCTTAATGCAAATAATCCATAAATNACACCACATATACACGGTGCCAAATCCCAGAAGACTGCTTTCTTCATAGTCACCGCCGTGAAAGCCTCAAATCTTACAAATTTAAATCTGTTTGTATATATTTCCCCAGTCTCCTTGCTGAAAACTTTCACTCCTCTCTTTATCCTGCACAAGTAGTTAAGCTATGAAGAATTCTGAAATGCTGCAGACAGCAAATAACAACAGGTTGGCTCACCTCTGGAGGGGCTTGTGACTGGGGTAAAACAGCCATTGTAACAGGAATGCCTTGAGAAGAAGTGAACACATGACGCACAACCACTGGTGGTGACTGTTGTCTCTGATGGTACGTTCCACCCCGTGAACTAGACACCTTTCCCTGGCCACCCACTGATGTTACAGGTTTTGCCACACCAAGACCATTGCTGCCAGGAACTACAGGATAGCCACCTGGTGCAGGAAGTGTTGGTGGGAAGGGCTTGCCACTAATGGCGTTATTAGTTGGTCCACTTCCGTTCCTTGATGATGTCACAACTCCATACTGAGTAGCAGCACGAGGTGGGACACAACTTTCAGACTTTTTGTTATTACCACTGGAAGAACTGGCACTGGCAGCCAGCAAGGATGGCGGTGGTTTCAGTTGGCATCGTAACTGATCTCTGTTGGGGCTATTCTGAATCACAGCCTGACAGATCTGGTAGCTGCGTTCAAGGTTCACGGCACCTGGTGGGGGTTTGTTAGATGAACCACGTGAACCACGGCTACCTCCGCCAGAACCACCAGAACTCACCTGCAAGAATGTAATCATAATATTGTGAATAAAAAGTGCTATCTTTTCTTCATATGGACATTTTTTAAATTTACACACAACTATTATCTATTGCATTATTCTTATGGATCTCATGGAAAGAATCAACAATGGGAAGATCACATTTGTCCATAGGCATAAGTCACACTGAAACTCAATAAAATTTGGTATTTAGGGTCTACAATAAAACTTGTTACATAAATTATTACAATTTATCTACTGCATACCTATTTATTATAGGCCATTTAATGCTTCACTGAAGTCATAACCATGATAGGGCTGTTGATTTAATTTATTTCTTTATTCTTGTCTTCATCTTCCCTTTCTTTATCTATGCAGTGTCAACAGCAATCAAGGAAGAAATGGGAGGAGGATAATGAATAAGGAACGGGAAAGCACATTAGATGAAGTGATATGACCATCAGTAGAACCACGATAAAACAAGTATGACTTATAACAAGATATGTCAATATTGTCAACATATTAATGTTACAACCATGTATAAAATAAGGGCATTCTTTCCATCTCTTTTGTCATAATGAGTGACGCCTAGCCAGCCACAACTTTCTGCATGAAGAGCAATTACAGGGTTATTTACCAGGCTTGCTGTCCTTAGAGGTGCCTTTGAAACATACCCTGCACCTCCCCCCTTCTTGAATGGGACAAAAATGACCACATCCCAATATCTAAGAACTGCATGTCTGAACACATTGTTACCACCCTCAGGAAACAGTGCTTAACATGCAGAGCTGTTCTAATTCGAGACTGAAAAACATCGGCCAACAACTGCAAGCACAATAAATTATGAAAGCATGAGAAAATCAGCAGCTCCTCAGTTCAGTAATACTGCCAGAGGAACTAAGCATGGCATGCGTGTGTGCATGCGCGCGCCTGCATGTGTGTGAGAGAGAGAGAGAGAAAGTGAGTGAGCGAGTGAATGCAGGTGCATGTGTGTCCACAGCTGGAATGTGCAAGCTTCTCATTCACCAAAGAACTGAGACCTCCATCCACTTCTTGGTTCTTCCAGAACTGTGGACAACCTTGGTCATTCACGGAGGCATGGGACCATTCTAGAAATATTATATGCATAAACAGAAGTTGCAGGTCTATGCAGAGAGCTGTCTGAGTTGAGTATGAATGGCTAGTGCAGATGCATTGAAGCAGGTGTGAAATAGAGCATACAGTGAATTATGAGGTAGTTGAGTGCAGAATGTGAGAGGAGGACGGTGCTATGACATTTCATTGAAATAGTGTGTGGACAAAACAGAAATGACACCAAGGTCATAAACAGTTACTGACAGTGACATATTAACTTTTTTAAATTACATAAAATGTTCTAATAGAATAGACATCAAGCATTACCCCACGTTACTCTATCTACATGGCAACAGTTTCAAGCAATGTATGAAATGCCCATAAACATAACAATTCTGGCCTTTGCATGCAGAGAACATAAAATACATTTTGTTTCATTATCTAAAAAACAAAAAACAAACAAACAAAAGAAAAACAGAACTTGTGGGTCAAGTGTACTGGACATAGCTGTAAGTTTCAATTTTATCTACAACTCTGTTCTAAACAATTTTTGTTTCAATAAACATTTAGCGGCTTCACAAGATTTTGCTCATATGGTGCTTGCAAGAAATATAATTTGATAGTGCTCCTTTTCAATGTCAGATGTTCACTCACCCTGAAACAGGGTAATGCATTTTAGTAATACCAAATTTTATAAATATGATTAACATTTCTCAATTTGCTTCATGCAGGCAGACAAAGAGACAAACATGTAGCTAACATGGGTATTTTCGAAAGTTTTCATTGTACACATGCCAAAAACAGTAAGTATTGTGGTGCCTGCATTAGACTCTTAAATCTCAGTGTCATACAATAACACATATAATTAAAAGATGGGCATGAATATTACAATTTCAACAGTTTTTTTAGTAACAAGTACTCACTAAAATGAGTATATTTATTATACAATTATAAATTCTTGTTATATAACTGCTGAAATTGTAATATTGAAGCGTGTCTTTTAAATATATGTGTTCAGTGATTCAGTATTGAGGGGGTGGGTTTCCCCATGCACCGCGACTGATAGTCTATTGTACATCCCCCTTTTAATTTCTACAGTCTCCATCCCCTACCGGTACTGGTGCTCGCTATTAGCCCCTTTCTGCCAGCAAGGTTTCTACCCTCTACTTGGCAGTGGTATCTAATAGTTAGTCCCTTTCTGTCAGCGAGGTCGTCCCTCCTCTGGCAGGGGTTCCTAGTCCCTTTCTGCCAGCAAGGTTTCTACCCTCTACTTGGCAGTGGTATATAATACTTTAGTCCCTTTCTGTCAGAGAGGTCGTCCCTCCTCTGGCAGTGGTACCTAATACTTCCCCATCTACCGGAGGCATTGGAAACTACTTTGGGCGGGAAATGTTGGGCCTAATTTAGCTCAGCGGTCTCTTAGAGACATGAGGTTCTTTTACGTGCCGCAAATCTACGACACGGGACACATGGCTTAAAGTCCCTCCCGGAGGACTTGTTCCCTGAATTTTTCCGCCCTTAAAATTCCACGACCTCCGCCGGGTTTTTGAACCTGCGTACCTTGAGTCATGAGGTGGGAACGTTACCCCTAGACTACGGAGGCCGCTCAAATTTATGTGTTACTGTATCATACTAATATTTAAGAACCTAATGCAGGTTACACTGTATTTTAAGGTATTACTCCAGTGCATGCCTGGGATGGCTAAGAAAAACCACAGCATCACACCAACTGAGCATATTTCAAATACAAAGGAATACTAACCTCTGCACTGCAATGTTCATTTTTAGGCAGATGCTATAGCTATTCTTATTGCTTATTTCTCCTTTTATGACACACCAAGTTCTGAGGCTATGTAGTAATTGTATTACATGCTTCACACTGGCCTATCCATGACACCTCTCAGTGGCAATTCTAGATGCAAATTAAAATCTGAACCTTTGTACACATAAAGGGTCCTTAATTAGTTCTCAGAGAAAAAAGATAATATGGAAAGAATGTGACAAAGAAAAATGCCTGCTTTCCAGGAAATGTAATTAAACCGTTGAAATGTGCAATATAAAACTTACAATACCAAAACTCCTTACTTTGAACAATATGGAGATGGAAAATATTGACATACGTTGCCTAAAAATAGCGAACACGTACATTAAAAGGCACTGAGATATATTCTAGAAATCTGAAATTGACAGAATAGTTATGAATGAAAAATTAGGAGGGATGTGGAAGGACATGGCTGTGAACTACATCAAGTACTAGCTCAACATTTACTTTGAGTCATTGAAGAAAGGCACAAATCATCTCAGTCAAGGCAGCTAGTCCCTGGCTGGTATCTGAAGATGATAGTGCTGAGTTTCTATGGGCAGTATTACTGGAAACGACAGTGACACCCCTTAATAATCAATTCCATTACACCAACCACATATCTTACCAAACATCTCTATGTAGTATTACTTTCTTGCATCCAAAAGTTTATGCGACACTCCTCCCTGAGCTTGTGAACTTACCTAAGCAATGCTTCAGTACAAACAATTAAGTTTAAACTATACTCCTACCAAAGCATGCATGTTTCACAATGCACACCACACAGGTAAGGCAATAGCATAATTCTGCTATATTGCTTTCCTAACCACATAAAGCAATAAACATAAAATAATTAACCTGGGATGAGTCCCTTTGCTTAGCTTTGGCCTGGCTCTTTGGCAGCTGGGTGGGGAGGGCCCGCACGGGGGTGTTACTGCTGAGGGCCAAGTAGGGCACAGCACTAGAACTGGCTACAGCAGCTGTCTTGGTTAGGCTCGAACTCACAACACTGCTGCTTGATGGAGCATTCAGGCAACTACTCAACTGCGTGTGGTTGATGAAACTTGGTGTTGAAACTGCAGATGGCAAACAGACTATTGTAGTGGGGGGTATCACGGTGGCAACATTTGTCTTCGAGACAGTCAGAGGTGCAGATGATGCAGCTGTATTGTGTTGTGAACCACCTACAGTGCTCGTTACCAAACTGTCTGCACTAGTCACAGCCTCAGGTGTTAGTGTCACTGAAACAATAACAATGACATTGCATGAGAAGTGCACAAAGCAACATGTTTCTTTACACCACAATCATTCTGAATACTGTCCACTGTATGAGGTAATTTGATACACAACATTTGAAAGTTAAGGTATATCTGAGGTACACAATGTTTCAAAAGTTAGATCTAGTGGTTTGTTGTTTACTGCCCAACAGTAGTCCAGGTATGATCCTGACTGCTAAAAGTAATCTAAACAAATCAGTGCAGAGACTGTGTATACTTTCTCAAGTATGACAGACTTCAACTGTTACCTTGGAAACAAAACTGAATGTTCTTCACTAGACCACTGCTGGTTGCTGAATACTAAACAATGAACAACAACTAATTATGCTGGTTTCGAGACAGTAACCTTTTGCATTTGGTTCCCTAATGTATCTATCATTATGTTCCTGAAGATACAACCTAAGCAGTATTATTTAGGGATATGGTCTTCACTGGGGCATGCACGGGTTCAATTCCCAATCAATCACTGGTTTTTTCAATTGACCTAATCCTTCCAGCCACACTATGGCCTGGAGACATTTCAGCCTCTAACAGAAATGAATACCAGGAATCTTCCTAGGAGTAAAGGGTGGCCAGTGCACATGGCTAACAACCTCACTGCTATGTGTCAGCCAAATCTCTAGAAAATGTGGGAGTCTCAACATCTCACAACCCTCTGGGCTACCATGGCCTGCTACAGGAATAGCTTTACCTTTTACCTTTTTTATGGTCTTCATTAATTACTTAAATTTAACCAAAACACTTTGAGCTGTTATGAGAAAATTGCCATTTCGTGTTTTGGGGCCCATTTCAAGGGCCTGTAACTGATCATTACCTACTGGCATCATTCTTAAATATTGCCAGAGACCATATAAATTTTAATTTCATTAATACTCAGGACTTAATACCATTTCTGTATTAAAGGTGACTTATACTCAGTTTTTCCATGACTATTATGACAGTTGGTAGCAAGGAATGTTTAGATAAGGGCTACTGCAACTCGAGACCATCAAATGATAGCTGTGGAATGTGTATCAGTTACTCCTCTCACCAGCCAAACTAAAGGAACTTCCAGAATGTTCTCAATCTGTAGAACAGTGTGGAAATTTCAAGAAAGATCTCGATGTGGAAGGTTCTGGAAGTATTACATCATTCGTGAGTATTTGAAGACTGATTTTGGTTGGTGCTGATCACTGTATTCCTTGGTTTGCATTGGGGTATTAGTACTGTTGTGTATTGCTGACTATTCCTGGCTAGTAGTGAAAGCTAGAGGACCACCCTCTGTGGGGATTTGCTGGCTGCCTGTGATGACTGCCAATACAGCTACCCTTTATACCTAGGGGTAGTCTTCTCCATTTGCAACCTGATGATGCCCCATGTTGTGTTGATGATGGAACCACATACAAAAAAGAAACTCAGTGTAATGGCAACCAATGACCTTAAAACAGGAGTAGAGCCACATCTTAACACACTGTATGTGCTTTAGGCAATGGATAATGTCCAACACAACTGTGGCATAATGAATCAACCTCTGGTGCAAACCCTTCAAAATGGACCACCAACCTTCTTCAGCTGACAGCAAATAAAAGATGCTTATTATTTATAGCAGGTACCACGTGAAGCCACTAAAAAAATTCAAATAACTACATTCTGAATAGCTATGCCCCTTAAATCATAACAAGACACTCCTCAAAACAATGTTCTGGCACAAATTATATACTCAATACCTAACAAATACTATATTTACTGGAATGTATGATCACTCCATAAAGCTGGCTCTTTCTTGAGATACTAAGAGTCACTCATCTACTCAAGAAATTCTTTATATTTTATGGGACCTGAAGGTTCCATTACTGTGTTGACAGGAGTCTGCACACATGAATACAGTCTACACCCTACAACCTTATTTCCTTAAGATCTGCTTTAATGTTATCCTCCCACATATGCTAAGGATACTTGATCTCTACTCTGGGAACATGTTCTGATGGGCTCACCAAGCCCATCCAATGGGTACCAGTGGTGATTTCCCTGGGAAGGTAAAGTGACCGCAGCATGAAACCGACCAAATATATTGCCAAGGTTAAGAAAAGAGTAGCTATTCCTGCATTCCCCCATGTCTTCACAGAATAATGTTTTATTAACTTTATTTCTTTTCAACTTTAAAGGTAAAATTCTCCCCATGTCTAGACATCATGCCAAAGCCATGGAACATCTATCAAAGATGGTAATGCATTCATGTAACATGCTATAACATGTGAATAAAACTACTAACCTTCCAGCTCAAGTTTAACCGCCTGACTCGTGGAGTACTCTGGATACTGGGCCTGTGTTGACTTGACTGCAGATGATGTGCCATCTCCTGTATCAATTAAAGCTGCTGCCACAATAGCAGAGTCCATCTTCATAGGATAAGGCCAGTCCATAGACAATGCATCTTCGGGAGCCACAGGAAATGTGCCTTCTTCCAGTCTAACTTCCAGTTCTTCCTGCATGGGAATCACTTCCACTTCTTCAACTGCCTCTCCTTCTTCCACCACAGCTAGTGTCACTGGAACTGCTACAGGCACAGGAACAGCTTCCAATGCAACGAGCGGAACTTCTGCCAACAATTTTTCAGTAGAGTCTACAACATCCCAGCAGCAGCCTTCACTACCAGCTACTGCTGCAATCAAAGCTGCCTGAACCTCTTCTGCATCATCCTCATCCTCATTCTGTAAGACAGATCCTACTTCACCAGACACATCTACTGCAGTCTTTATATCACCATCTTTGGAATTACTGTTGTCCTGAACCACACTATCATCTTTAAGAATATAGCCAGTTGAATCCAAAACAGCACTCTCATGAATTACATCATGTTCAGGCACCATATTTGGTTCATATGTCATGTGATCAGCATCATTAACTGTCATTTCTTGAACCAAATCTAAGTCTTGAATTTCTGAATTTCTAACATTTGATCCCACACTATTAATTTCTGCTGCCACCTCAGTTTCACACCTTTGTAACGTTTCTACATCACTACCTACTGGTCTGATGTCTGACACAGAATAAGAGTCATTTTTCAGATCATCGCTTCTCTCGACACTGTCCCTGCTTTCACTTACACCTTGATTGTTTTTAGAGTCATATTTCACAGTAGTATCAATTCCTGATATAACATGTTCATCTTTTGTTTCTTTCTCAGTGTCACTGTCTTCTTCCTTCACAGCACACTCAGAAACGTTCACCTCACATTCTGATGATTGAGATGTGACATCTTCTTCTGGTTTGTACTCGGCAACACTTACTTCATGCGTCACCATGTCAGCTGCAACATCCTTCTCATATTCACACTTTACACTTGACTCAGAAGCTGCTGCTTCAGTCTCCTTCTCTGATTTAAATACTGTAATGTTTGTCTCATTAGTCAGTGCTTCATCCCCCATGCTGTTTCCTACTGTTTCAGTCCTAACGCCACTTCCTGAGACATGCTCATCAACATTCACTGTGTGTGCAGTTCCAACATCAATACAGTTTTCCTCTGCAAAAATACAAAACAAAATTAGTAAATAACACATAATTTCAACAAAGCACGTTGAAAGCACTACTTTTTGAAAAGAATATCTGTAAAATATATTCCAACTGTTTAATATTTTCTAAATATCTAGCTTTGAAAACAACAGAAGTATGTACTTTACAACAGTAAATATATGGGAGGATGTGACGGAACTGTGAATATGAGTCAACTGGCAGGGTATGGTCCAGTGGCATGTTCCTCTAAGTATGGCAATAAACTTTTAGGTCTCTCGAAAGGAAGACAATTTCTTGACCAACTGACGAACTCTCCTCCATGCAGTTAGTAGAGGGGGTAGCTCTGTTCACATAGATGATGTAACGTATAATTTTCATCCCATGTGCAAGTAAGTAATGAAATTCATTTCCATTTTGGAACACAGCCAAACCTCTAGAAATTAAGTCTGTAAAACTCTAAGTAACTGCTTGACAATTTAAAACTAAAACTGAACTCCATGGCTTAAGTCCGCAAGTGAACTATACTATTTAACCCTTTCAAAATCACAATGCACATTGCCCCATCTGAATGTGGTGTGCCTCTTAAGTTTATGGCACATCTGGCCGTCAGTTGGATTAAAAAAAATCCATGCCTCTTTTACAGCACGTACTTGAAAGATGATTATAGCCGAAGTCTTCTGCTTATGCTTTAAACTAGTGCAATGAAACATATTGCCAAGAATATCATGACATGCAGCTACAATTATTACAATCTGTATTTATCTAATTCTCTTCATAGCATATAGCAGAGGCATGGGAAAATCTTTTTCATCCCTAATCTGTGAAAAATATCACACTGAAACACAAACAGTTGTGATATGAACGAACATGAAATGGTAAAATATACCCAATATTTTTAATATAACGTAAAAGCTCATGTGAGTAAAAGATGTTCAGACATAAAACTGTATAAGGGTTAACCCATTAAGTGACTCCTGGATTAATCTCTAGAGCCACAATCTACATACAGTCCTGGAAAGCCAAACAGTCAGGAACATTCTACTTTCCTGACAATGTATTCTTCATATATGTCAAAACACTTCAGTGTTCTCTACTAGATGAACTTGATACTGCAATCTGGCTAACTTAATCCCTGCAGCAGAATCCTTAGAGATGCTGAGAGCCATGCAGCTGGTCAAAGAATTCTCTACCTTTTATGGAACTCAGAGGTTAATTACCATGTTCATGTTCAAAACACCCTGCTACTGGTCCCTACCAAAATTAATCCAGGTCACATCCCCATACACTGTTACTTTAACATTTGTTTACATATTTTTGTCCCAAATGTTCCTGTTTCCTTCAGATTTCTTTTACCAAAATTCTGAGCAAATTTCTCATCTCCCCATGAATGCTACATGTCCTGCCCATACCATCCTGCCTTGAATTTATCGTCCCAATAATGCTTGGTTGAGTGCTAATTGCTAAATCTTCACAGCATAATTTTCTCTAGCCTCTTGTTACTTCCTCTCTCTTATGTTAGAATGTTCTCTGGTGCTACAAACTGTCTTATTACTACCGCCTGTTTGTCCAGACGCTGAGAACAGAAACTTCTAGCATGCCTTGTAGCAATTTCATTTAAATCAGCATCAGTTATAATCAGACATGCAAGGTCACACTATCAGTTTTACCCAAGAGGTAATGGGAGAGGGAAATTATGTCAACTGACAGATGTCTGCTTTGCCAACAGTCCATGTGCTTACAACATTAGACTTTACTCTGAACATTCACAGTAATGCTTGTCTAATTTCCGTCCATAGAAAATTTGTATATACATTATACTGCGTACTAATGTCTAAACTTCTGTCTGCTGCTTGCTCACTACCTTAATTACTTCACACACATACTGCAAGACATGAGCTTGAAAATGTAATGAACTGAAATCTAGCACAAGATAACCTTTTCAAAACAAATGGACAGCATTTAAACAAAAAAATTAATGTATTTCTAGTTAAAAAAGTCAACAAAATAACCCTCAAGATAATTAAAATGAAACAAACAAAGAAGTATTCTAATTTCCATCCAGTAGTATATTTACACATGTAACTTTTCTGTTTCCTGCCCCCTCATACAGCACATTCTCACTGTCTGTTCAGCTGTCAGGATGCTTACACACGCTCCCTCCCCCTTCTGTCCATGATCTGTGTTACTAACTTTAACTTCCCATAATCACTAGCAGAACCATTACATGAGGGCCCATAGTCTTGTGAGACATTGAGGCTCCCACATTTTCTAGTGAATCAGCTCACAGATTGTGGTAAGGCTGTCAGCCTTAAGTGCCAGTCACCCTTTACCCCACAGGAAAATGCCTGGAACTCATTTCTGTTAGAGGCTGAGTCAACCCCAGGACCATAGCATGGCAGGAATGATTAGGTAAACTGAAAAATCCAATGACCTCATTGGGACTCAAACCTGCGACCTTCTGGCTTGTAGCATAGTGCCTCAACCAACTACGCTACTACATGTCCCCCATGCTTCAAGAGCGAAGTTACTGCATACAGAGAGATGACTGGATACCAGTAACAGGTATACATATAATGTTACCAAATATGCACAAACAAAATTTAGGAAAAACACACTGATTGAGTGACTTCATTCTTTTCTTATGGCATATGGGTGAAGCCATGATACTGAGAAGTAAGTAAAAAGCAAGTAAAGTAAAGCTGTCCCTGTGTTTAATTAAGCACTATGCCATAAAGGTGCATGGGGGCCTGGATGTATAGATACACATTTTCTTGACCTCAGAACTAGCTGGAGTTGAATGACCAGCTTCACGTCCCGGCTGCTTTATCCCCAGGGAAAGAGCCCTTGGTACCCATTGGATAGGAGGTTGGGTGGACCCCAGAGCTGGTCTGGACAACATGGAGAAGAGAAAATTCTTGACCCTATTGGGACTTGAACCCCGACCAATCTGCTGTCTAGCCCGCAGCCAGTCGCTATACCAACTATGCTATCCCAGCTCCATGATATTGAACAGTAGTACTGTTATATAAAAGTTATATTGCTGTATGGGTATTTGTAACAAAAGAAGAAATAATGATAGAATCACAAATCTGACTTATAACAGATTTTATCCAGCAATATGTAAGAAATTGGAAAGACTATATTGGAAGAGCTTACTCTGACGGTGTCCTCACAAAAACTGTATTGTATTGTATTGTATTGTATTATATTGGAGAGGGTGGGTTTCCCCATGCACTTAGACCAACTGTTGGTCCATTGTGCATCCCCCTATAATATTCTACCAGTCTCTATTCCCTACCGGTACTGGTGCGTGCCATCAGTCCTGACTCAGCCAGCGAGTTCGGCCTCTACTGGCTCAGCAGTATCTCGATGCTTCCCCCCTCACAAAAACTGTATTGTATTGTATTGTATTGTATTATATTGGAGAGGGTGGGTTTCCCCATGCACTTAGACCAACTGTTGGTCCATTGTGCATCCCCCTATAATATTCTACCAGTCTCTATTCCCTACCGGTACTGGTGCGTGCCATCAGTCCTGACTCAGCCAGCGAGTTCGGCCTCTACTGGCTCAGCAGTATCTCGATGCTTCCCCCCTCACAAAAACTGTATTGTATTGTATTGTATTGTATTATATTGGAGAGGGTGGGTTTCCCCATGCACTTAGACCAACTGTTGGTCCATTGTGCATCCCCCTATAATATTCTACCAGTCTCTATTCCCTACCGGTACTGGTGCGTGCCATCAGTCCTGACTCAGCCAGCGAGTTCGGCCTCTACTGGCTCAGGAGTATCTCAATGCTTCCCCCATCTACCAGAGGCGTTAGAGACTACTGTTTGGCGGGAAATGTCCTGAATTTGGCTCAGTGGTCCCCTTGGGACATGAGGTTCTTTTACGTGCCGTAAAGCTACGACACGGGACCCACGGCTTAAAGTCCCTCCCAGAGGACTTGTTCCCTGAATTTTTCTGCTATTAAAAATTCCACAACCTCCGCCAGGTTTGAACCTGCGTACCTTGAGTCACGAGGTGGGAACGTTACCCCTAGACTACATAGACCGCTTCCTCACAAAAATAGTAGGTATCAATCCAGAAATTATGCTTCAAAATGGCACTAAGAAGGAACAAAAAAAAAAGTAGGTAAAGATGCACACATTCTTAACTCTGACACTAGATTGAGGTAAGTCTTCACTTTCACACAATGGCCGCTTTGCCTCATTTTATAATACCAATAAATGATGGGAAGGAGATTATGAAGTAATACCTGCAGAACTGGAAAGAGGCCTCAACTTCTTGTGCAGTTCCTTCTCTTCTCCACTGCCCTCAGACTGATCTGCTGGCCTCTTCTCAGCAGGACTGGGTGGCTTATCAGCTGTGCTATCAGCCTCCTCTCGAACCCAGTAGTTGGTGATTGCTCTGGTCACAGCTCCAACAGTTCTTGGTCTCCTTGGAACTATTTTGCTGTGCCTTATACTTGCTGATGTTGAAGGCCTCAACTTGATGGTTGTTTTCAGCGATGGTCGTGCTGGACTTGATAACAGCAGTGAGGTACTGTCAGAGGTTGGCTCATGCTTCTCACCCCAGATTGGCTCAAAGTGTTTCAGCTGGGAGAAAGGAAAGGGGTCCAAATATTCTATCACAACAAATAATTAATGAGTTATCAGTAATGACAACTAACAAGAACATTCCTGAAGACTTCAAAACAATTCTGAATTTTGAAAGCAGGAAAGAAAAAGGACACATCTGTGCAATAAAAACTTACCTGTCCCTTAAATTGAGCTTTCCCACAATAGAATTATTCAGAAATTGAAATTTTTGCTAAATGGCTCTACTGCAATTAAACAATACAAACATAAGCATGACATAATACAACAGAATCCGACAATAATATCATGACATGATGGCTGAAAAGTCTGCTGCTAGGCAATGGCAACATAAACATATTCCCTCGGCAGTGAATTAACACACAACAATAAAGGAATCACTGAAGAATCAACACACCACAATAGAGGAGCAGCTGGAAATGGTGTCTTCTATGCAGTCTGTGGCAAGGAAATATAATAAGGGCAACTGGACAAGCTAGTGTGCCTACCACCGTGGTTTGGAAGCCATGAGTTAGTTCAGAGCTAGCCACGATCCAGTGAGGACAGGAACACAGAAGCTGAAGAATCTCCACTGTTAGCAGCCATAAACTAGAGATGCCAAGTCAAGACTGTAACCAGGTAATGACTAGCAAAGACATAACAGACTGAGACCTATCACATTCAGTAGTGATTTGTTAAGTGTGCAGATTAGTAATAATGTTATAACTATTTGTAGATATGAGTTATAAGTGTACAATAAATACAATTATCAATCCAAACCTCATGTACAGTCACTAATGTGTGATGATATAGTTCTGTCTAGGTGGGAGAGAATGTTGTTTAGAGACACTTTACTCCTGCAAGAAAATGCTGCTGTATAACAAAGATGCATTCATTATATTTCCTCCTAACTTATAAATTTAAATTGAAAATTAAAAATTAAATTATCATGTACTATAAAAAATAATACAAAATATTTTGTATGCAGTCATATTTTATGTAAGATTTTAAGCTTTTGCTGTAAGTGAATGCAATGAAGTCTTTACATGTGATCAACTATGTCAGGTAGCTTCCATTTCAGAGACACTCTGTAGAGATATTCACTCCATAATGACCTGGCTGATCATCCAAGACAAATTCATTTAACTAAGTGCTTGTGCCTAGACTGTATATTTTAATAGCCCAAGCAGTTATGTGCCTCTTTCTTATGTCAATTCCTTAGCTGTGACAATGAACAATTACTTGACAATAAGCAGAGAAGATAAAAAGTTCTGTGCCTATATTTTTAGTACAAACAAGGCATGACAATTAAAATAACTAGACTGATGTTCTGTATGCAGTCTTATAACCTAAATCCACTTGGTCCGCCACCAAGGGCATTGTGGTCTTGATGAAATTTTATTGGAGCTTTGGTTTATATTACTACTATATTCTCTTTATCAACCCCACTTTCACTATCAAATGAGACTGCTTCGCCAGTTCCACTCTCCGCATTTAGCAGCCTTTCAGTGCTCTCTTAACTTGTCAAGATTTGCATCATCGTGATGGGGAGACAACTATATTGTCATGTGTACAGAGTGACTATAGATGGGGTTTGGATTGGTTAACTGGATTTACTGAACTCTTTATAACACAACTTGCAACTACACTTTACAAATCACTGTCACACACACATTTTAGTGTTCTCAGTCTATTACAGTCTCCACTAGCTGTTGCTTGGTAGCTGCTTCCAACAGCGAATGTTCCCTTTTCTCTGGGTTCAACTATTCCTGGCCTCAGCTACCAGCTTCTCACAACAACAGCTTACAACAACTGAACTGCAGCAGTCCTCTAACTCCTCTCACTCCAGCTTATAACACCTTGGCGTGGACTGTGTAGGAAACTGCACTACTCTGTTGCAGTGCAACTGTTGTCATAGAAACAGGCTTATTTGCAGAGCTGTTACTTAGAAACAGCTATTGTATACTTGCATATTTCACAGCCATTGCCTAGCAATGGGTCTACATATCACATATTTTGCTGAGAGCTGTATGGTATATCACTTTTAATCACTGGCATGAAAATGTTATGTAAGTTATATCTGTGTTTGAAATTCCTAATGGGTGCCTACCTTTCACCCTCACTCCCATTTCCCACCTCCACAGCACAAACATGTGATATTTCAGTTATTTATTTATGTACATCTTTATACTTCCTTCCAACAAACAGAGATGCCACTAAGGCTGATAAAAATCTGACCACAGTTAATGGAATGATCATGCAAATAAGACTTGTTCCTTTCAGTCTGGCAGTAACCAGCCTAGGGCCAACGTTTATAAGTAACTCACTGCAGGAAGGAATAACAGAAGTTTGTGTATACTACTAGACATAATTACATTATCACATCTGCTACAGGCTAGTCTCAAGTGAAAGAATATTTTAATGCTGAAACGTTGCAATGCTTGGCCAGCTGGACTGATCATGATACGGCAATAACATAATAAATGGCCGATGAAAGTTAATTTATTATGTGCATCTATTAGCAGATTCAGTCTGGTTATTGAACTGTCAGACCTCATACATTTACATTCAGTTATTTGCAACATTATGCACATTTTCCAGGCACAGTAAATACTTTCATATCAATGGAAGAAACAGCAAAGATACAGGAATAAGTACAGCAACCAACCTTCCATGGGTCTAAACGACTCATCTCCTTTTCAGCTTCAGCCTTCAGCTTCTGCTGGTTTTCAGGTGTGAACTCTCCTTCTGCCAGCCGTTCTCTCCACTCCAAACAAGCTCTAGCAAAGAATTCGTTGTTCAGCCCAGAAGTACTTAATCTGTTTAACAAAATAAAGCAACTATTATACATGAGAGAGAAAATGTTCAATCAACTGCTCCAAAAAATGGTCTTAATAATATAATTAAACATTAGTCCTGCTTATATTAATAAAAGGGAACCAGACTTTGTACTGTGTCACATTTTAATGAATTTTATACTGTGTTAAAATGTTACTAAGTCTGATTTCTACACAGGTGTATACAACCACAGACACAGACACCTATAAACACTCACTCACCCACTAACTCACCTACATACACATGCCATCATGTATACGCACAACCTTGAGCACCAACCAAAACAGTTTTAGAATTATGTAAAATTTGGAAGGACAGCGAAAGTTATACTCAATTTCATGTTGGTAGTATTCACCTAAGCCTAATGAAGTTGCTAATGTATTTTTGTGGTTTTGCATTCCTTGCTTTTTGATAAGCTGAGACCATGTTACTCTCATTTTTCTGGAGTTCTTCCTTGCGCTTCACTGTACTGTTTGGTGTTCCTTAAGATTCTCTTTTGGGACCTTCAGCCTTCAATGTATACATTAAAGATTTATGCAGGACAATTAAATATTCCTGTTTTCTTCTTTTTTGCTGATGACATAATGAAGAAGTGTTAATTAGAGTCAGTGAGCAGAGGAATATCCTACATGAAATAAGAAAACGGAAGGCTAATTGGATTGGTCATGTTTTACGCAGAAACTGCCTTCTAAAAGAAGCTATCGAAGGAAAGATAGATGGGCGGATAGAAGTGACAAGAAGACGAGGAAGAAGACGTAAGAAGATGCTGGATGACCTTGGGGACAGAAGAGGATACTGTCATTTGAAGGAGAAAGCTCTAGATCGCATTAAGTGGAGGAATTGTTTTGAAAGAGACTGTGGACCTGTCGTCTTGACAGATTACTGATGATGATGATGATCACCTTTCTTAATGACTGTCTTCTTCTCGAGAAACAATAATGTTTTTTCTGTGTCCTCTGTAACTCTGGAATTTTGCATAGAAATTGTATTAAAGGCCTTTGTGTGCTTTCTTGATTCTAACTGTACTTCCATTAATATACTGATTATTTATTTTCTCATGCTATAAAGATGTTAGACCTAACATGAACTATTACTGTCTCTTTCTACAGTAGATAGTTTTTGTTGCCTTACATCAGCCCAGTCAGAACAAAACTTGAATATGCTCCGGCTGTCTGGAATTACCTTGTCAAGACTGACTCTAACAAACTAGAATGTGTCCAGGCAGTTTTCTACTGTATATATCACCTGACTGTTGCTTTAAAAACTAAACTTTATATAGTTATAATAATAATCTGGACAACTTAAAATTTCACACATTACTCATGAGACAGTGTTATTCTGTGGCATTATTTATAAGAAACATTTATAGTGATTTTATTACCTGTCCTTTGCTCCTAAATCTGTTTGTATCAGTTCCAATAGGAAAGATCAGAGACTTCAATACCTTCCATATTTCATTTGCTGTGCCTCAGCCACAAATGAAACATGTAACAATATTAATACATTTTGCAGTTGTTTCATTAACACCAATTATCTGGTTAATTTGGTTACCAAGTAGTTACAGTATTTTGTTAAATTCAATGTTGTTATGAACTTATGCTTGTCCTGCATTCATCTACTATGCTGTACAATAACTTATACTTATGTACAGTGCCCTGCATCTCTGTGCTGTTTCCTTCACTTATTGATCATGCTCTCTAACTGGCTTCTGTAGTCACTGAATAAAAAGGTAAAGTTGTCCCCGTGCTTAGCTAATTAAGCACCATGCCGTGGAGGTGTATGGGGGAGTAGATGTATAGATCCACAATTTTTGTGACCTCAACACTAGTTGGAGGTGAGTGGTCAGCTTCATGCCCTGGCCGCTTTACCGCCTCGGGGAAAGAGCCCCCAGAGCCCATTGGACAGGAGACTAGGTGGGCCCCAGAGCCGATCTGGATGTAGTCACTGTATTGGCATACAAAAATAAGCAACTTGAACTATTAGCCTCAAAGAGACATCCAAGTGAGAAAGCAATTCATTCAGATGACTTGCCAGTACCACTCACATTAAAATTATGAGTAGTCATGGATTAACAGAATTGGACTGATTCACGTTGTTATTCACTGCAGTTGCAGATTAACTGTATTCTGTTGTATACTGTTAGTGCTCTGCTAAGAACAGACACCTTGAAGCTCCACAGCAACACAGTGACAGAAAATAATTTTGAAATTTCATAACAGTAATTTAATTCTTCATAGCCATGTTTAGTTTTTCTGTTTCATAAGAGCTGTCAAAATTTTCAGTCATATGTTTACTACATTTAATTAAGTATGTTTTTACAGTTCATATTCCTTGTTTGGAGTGGAAGAAACACCGTTGTGGAGCTGAGGTCATGAGAGCTTCCTTCCACATCCCTTTCAAGCCTGCATCATTCCTAGTTTCTGTAATTTCTGTAATGGATACTGTGTTACTGTTATATTAAGAGACCACACAAAGCATACTATGTATGAGAAAACAAAAACAACAATTCTGTGGCCTAAAATGTATGTTAACATTTCTTAGTCCCATTAACTTCCTATATTGTATTCCCATTTATGAGTAGCTCTCTTTCCATGAAGTTTTCCACTGAAACATATGAATTTCTAGATCCCTTCATGTCATACATGTCTTCCTTGATTTAAGTACCATACAATGTTATGCAAAGATTCAACTTGTGAAATCATCATATAATGTTCCCTATTCTTCACCTCTCTCTAGCCCATACCACAGCATTTCGTTAATAAACTCCCTCAACATCTCTGTTTCCTCGAAGAAGAGACACAGCTTCAAGCCCATACAAAATAGGTAAGTTCTGTTCCATGTCACCTTACTTAAGGATCCACCTTTAAATATAAATGAAGTACTCTATAAAATTGTGACTTATATAGAAAGTTGAGAACATACTGTTTTAGGAAATGGCAAGTTTCAAATGAACCGTTCTCTCACTCACGGCTCTGATTTTGGGTCTGTGTTGTTTCCTGTGAGCTTGTTCTATGCTATCACCTCCACTTTCTTCATTCCTGTCGATGTTGTTACAGTGTCTCATGTCTGGGCTAACCAGTCATCCTTCCCATTCCACTTAAAGGGTAGCCTCACTGAATATGTGATTACACGGATACAGTCTCTTTTAATTTTGGAAGTTGTAAGGGAAGGACATATCCAAAATTCTGTCTAGGACTTTCTTGATTTATACTGTTTCATGCATGGTTAAATTAAGTTTGGTTCATCCACTGTAGCCTTCTGATATCAGAGCTTTCTTAGCCAATATTCTGCATTTAACATAAGCCTTTTTTGTATATGGCAAATTGTGTTTTGTGGAACACAGGCTGTGTGGGTGTGGTCTGTTGACCCATGGATTATACCATTACTGGTCATATGTTTGCATTACAGGGTATAAGGTGAACCTGTGTTTTAGTTCCATGATAACAAGAATGCCCTACAGTAGCCAAATCAGTTTCTTTGTGACATACTTACTAAGTATGACTGTTCTGTGTGAATTGGTTTTTCTTTATGTGAAAGTTTCACATTTTTTTTTTTACTCAGCCACTATTTGTGTGTCCTGTGTATCTGTTCTCCTATACTGCTCCCTGCTACAAAAGGCTGTTTAACCTTGTAGTTCTAATTTGTCTTCTGACCAGAGTTGGTTCAAATCTATTAACCCCATGAGCTTTCCATCACTTTGGCTACATCCCGTTTGTTCTGTATTATTGCTATATTACTTCTTTTCTTACTGTTATAAAACTTTGTTACTGAAAATTTAATTCTTTCATTTGGTAGCATAGCTGGGGGGAGAAATGTGAGACTTGAGCCTGCTCCACCCTGTGTTACGTTTTATCATGCTCCAATTTTCTACGTGCCTCTTCTCGGATGAGCCATATGTCATCTAGGGAGCACTGCAGCCTACAACAACTGAACCACTGAGATAAATGTAGCACCATTTCTATGTGTATTCTGAAGTATGGTATAAGCGGGTGGAGCATTAAGCTAGCTGCTTTTCACAAAAATGAATACCTATTACTCCCATCTGCTAAAAGTTATGATTTTATTTTATTCACATTAATAAATAAACAGCAGATTATATATATATTCTTTTTCTGTTATGGTGTAATCAGAACTTTAAACTGCCACTTCACATTCTGTCTGAGTGCCAAGTGTAAATATAAAAGCCTATGCTTCGAAGATCAGAAGTTGGAAGACATACCTCAATGAGGAATCAGGCTGGCCTGCAACTCCTGCTCTGTCCACATCTGGAAGAAGTTGCACAAGCTTGTACTGATAAAGAGGTGGTAGGCTTGAGAAAGTATGTTTGTTGAGTAGTGCTCGAAGATTTGTGTTAACTAAAATAGAGTCTGGAGTTTCCAGATCAATACAGCCTTCCTTGGTTTGTTCCAACTGTGCAGCAGCAGACAATTTCTTAGTAGAACGCTTCCTTGGCTTGATACTGAACCCTGGTATTGATGCCAGAACTTCACGCATCGTGGCTGGTTTAAGACTCACATTATTTGTTGTACCTTTAAATTCCTTGTCTACAAAAACAAAAGAAGAGAGACGGAGGATGAGAGTTCGCTAAATTTGTGTGTTCACATGTGTTTGAAATGTCCATTCCCACCAATATTAAATAAATATAACCCGGATAAAATGTAAACCAATTAAACATTCTGAACTCAATAACTTATCCTTGCCAACATTACACAAAGCTCACTTTACAAATCTTCAATTAATGAATTTTCACAATAACAATTTAAAAAAATTATTTTCCATTTTATTAGTGTATACTGAATACCGTATTTATGCACGTATAGGCCGCGTGCGTGTATAGGCCGCAGCACAATTTTCAGACAGAAATTATACAAAAAATAATTTTCTTGGAATATTATTTCAGGAGTAGAACACTCTGTATTACTAATCATGAATATAATTTTTTTAAATGAAGTGTGATTTCGAATATTTCGAATATAAGCCGCACCCCAGTTTTCCTCTTGAATTTCTGGCAAAAAATGTGCGGCCTATACATGCGTAAATACGGTATTTACTACAATGAACCTGCACTGAGTTGTGCATGGCAACAAATGACTTACAAATTAATTAACTGAAATCATACTTTCTGCAGTTATAAATGATCCAATGAAGAGACTTAACAACGCTTTCAAACATCTGAAGTTGTTATTACTTCATAACACTGCAACTACTTTTGCAGTTACCGCTTTTAATTTAATCAAAGATATATGAAACGTATACTATGAAGTGCATTAGAAAACAGTATTAAGCTGCAAACCTTCAAGTCGAGGAGACAATGACTTTACAACAATCCGAGGTAATGGAGCAGAGTTCCCAGACGCAATAGTCGTGTTCTTCCGGCGGCGTTTAGCTTGTTGTCGCAAAGCATGTTTAATCACCTTTTTACTATGTGAATGTGATATTCGAGAATTCAAATCTTTGAGTGAATCGTACGAACAGCCAGGCATTGTGTCCATCCTATGGTCAGCAACCTCACACTCTACCTTGTCATGGTTCTTGCATGATTCACTGATGTCTACAATACAAACAGAACATATTACTTTTGTTCAATCAATAAAAATGATTGTGGATTTTCTCACAATGATTCACTTTTTCTATACAATGACATTCTTTTGAGTATTAACATCCCTAGAGGTAAGCTTAGTTTTCTTCTCAGAATCATGGGGTTTTTGGACTTTGTCCATCATCTGGTATTCTAGAAACCCTAAAGGAAGGGTATATACTGGGTCCATATCAGTTGTACAAGTAGATTCTAAAGGGTTCTGATGGTGGTGTATAACACTCAGAATCACTGAGTATTCTGGATTTTGTTCTAGAATACCAGATGATGGACAAAGCCCAAAAACCCAGTGATTCTAAGTGCTATACACCATCATCAGAACTCTTTAAAATCTACTTACCTTTTCTGTTTTTCCTCTTAAAGACAGACGTTTCCCATTTTTTATTTTGTATTTCTTAGCTCTTTAAAAAATCATCTCTTAATCTTCACTCCACAGAAACGAACTCTTAGATGGCAATGTATGTCTTTTACAACATCCATAACAACAGCTACATTGTACGGCAATGTAATAATCTCTAGTATAAGGAGATGGTGAACAACTAAAAGCCATGAATATGTACAAAATAATAACTTTGTTCATTTCTTGCATGAATTCCCACGTGACTGCAATGCACAGTTTATGAAAGGAAGGGGCCTAAAATTCTGATTTTGAGGTAAACTGTCAATCTTCCAAACACTATGAATGCAATTTTCAGACCTTCTCTATTTGCATGACTGGATTCTGAAACTTTGACATGGATTTCAAACTGTGCTACACTTCAGAAGGTCGCTTACTTAACTACTCATGGAGCTGGGCCCTTCTGGAGGAGCTGCCAACTCTGCAGCTACTCAACAATTTCCCAGCATTTTATGGAACCTGAAGGTTCATTACCTTGGTCAAAACAGCCCTCCACTGGTCCCTATCCTGAGCCACATTAATCCAATCCTATCTCTCTAAGATCCATTTTAATATTGTCTACCTACCTACAACTTGGTCTTCCCAAGGGTCTCCTTCCTTCTGGCTTTCCCACCAATATCCTACACGCATTCGTCTCCTCCCCCATTTGTGCTACATGCCCTACCCACCTCATCCTCCTAATCTTGATCATTTTTTCTATACTTGGAGAAGAGTACAAGTTATGAAGCTCCTCATTATGAAGTTTTCTCCAACCTCCTGTCATTTCATCTCTCTTTGGTCCAAATATTCTCCTCAACACCCTGTTCTCAAACACTCTCAGTCTATGTTCCTCCCTTACTGTCAGAGACCAAATTTCACACCCATTCAGAACCACAGGATGCTTCAGAAGGTTACATACAGAAAATATCATATAGATTTACCACATTCTACTACATGAGGCACACCAAAACAATAGTGGGCAAATAACAGTTCATGGGAGGAGCCGATGTGCACTGGCTTTATCTCTGGCCCTTGAAGTTAGAGTGAAACCTCTACTTATAACACTTACTTACACAGACATTTTGAAATAAAAAAAATCACCAGATTAAAGTGTAAAGTTACATAATTAACTTGACATGAACTGCAGCATATAAGAATGAACGCAACTGGAGTGCAGAAGCCGCAAGTTTTCAATATCCATGCAAATATATCTTAATGTGAATGCTCAAGCAGCACCATGTTAATTTGGATTACCATATCTTACCGTGCATGGTAACACTTTTCCCACCATTACACTCCATGTCCATTTGAAATTCATTTATCAAAAGTCTGTAGTCAACAATTAAAGACACAGAATGGAATCGGGAATACAATATTATTGTGGTGCCTATGTTTAAGGTGACACCGAGAACTGAAACTGCTGTCAGTCAGCTGAACACTTCTGTTCAGTGAAGTGGTTTGGAATGAGTATCTGTAGAATGTGATGAAGTACTCTAAATATTATACTCTTAGAAATATGAGTACTTATGCTCATATTATGAGTGCAGCAGAGAGTGAGCACAGTGTGTTTAGTGATGGGTTGGAAGAACAATATTTCTTCACACATATAAGATCTACCACTGTGTGCTTAGTTTGGAATGACACAGTCTCCACCTTGAAGGTTTTCAAATTTAAACACCACTTTAGTTTAAAACATGAAAGATACTGTGCCAATGTATCTTTGGGTACAAGAACAAGGGAAGCCAGACTTGGTGTTGCATTTGGGAGTGGAAGGGGAGAGAGAGCAAACGGTTTTTACATTCAAAACAGACTGCATGAAGCAGTGACTCACATGTAACATACAAAATCCAGTTTTCGGACAGCTGGTGGGAGGGATTACACCAAATAATTCTGAAATACATACCTTGATAACTTCTGTGTGATTCCTCATCCACTTCCATCACCATAGCTCCATATGGATGTGTGCCTCACCCTGCATCACGGTGGCATGTTTCTCCACTGTGACCTGATAGCCTAGCAACAAGAAGGTAGTCTGTAAGATTTGAGGCTTTCATGGCGGTGACCATGAAGAAAGCAGTCTTCTGGGATTTGGCACCGTGTATATGTGGTGTTAACCGACGTTTCGGAGGAACGTATCGCCTCCATCTTCAGGGTAGAAGGAAAAATATAAGAAATCCGCAAGCGAAGAGACCGTGAGAACTGGTAAAAGCGGTTCTCACGGTCTCTTCGCTTGCGGATTTCTTATATTTTTCCTTCTACCCTGAAGATGGAGGCGATACGTTCCTCCGAAACGTCGGTTAACACCACATATACACGGTGCCAAATCCCAGAAGACTGCTTTCTTCAAGAATGTAGTTTGTTTAATAACAACAAATATATCATCAAAGCTTTTGATTACATTTAAGTTAACAATACAATATCTCACAGGTAAGTTTCAATTCTGCTGGAACATCGACAATATCCTTTCATCCAAACAAGTAATTAAAGACATTGTTAGAAACGGTGTTCTCTACAACATCCATGCCAAGGCTGTATAACGACACCAGACAGGCAGTTGACAGCTAAGGCAGCCATTATAACATGAGATACATGACTTAGGGCATAATCTACTATGTCAAACCTTGTATACATTGTACATATATACGAAGTGTATCGGAAAGTTCCTGGAGTGTTACTGTTGTAACTGCCTCAGTGAAAGAAGATGAGAGGGGAGGCAAAGTTTTGTGTGAAGCTCGGTAAATCCACTGCCGAAACCCTTGAAATGCTTCATGAGGTTTCTAGAGAACATTCTTCAAGCTGGACAGTGGTTTTTGAATGGCATTCACGTTTCAAGCCTGGTTGAGTGTCAGCTGAAGACGAATAACATTAAGGGTGACCAAGCAGCAGCAAAACGACAGAAAATGTTGAAAAAATTCAAGAACTCATCCACAAAGCTTGTCACCAAACAATCCATGAGCTCGCAGACACTGTTAGGATCAGTTATGAAGTTTGCCAGGAGATCTTAACAGAAAATTTGAACATACACTGCATTGCAGAGCAGTTTATTCCCCGACTCTTGACAAATGACTAAAAGGTGCAGCAGGTAAATGTTTGTCTTGAGCTACGAGAGAAGGCCAATGAGGACCCAACTTTTATCTCTAGGATCATAATGGGCGACAAAAGTTACATTTACTCTTATGCTTATGAGCCAGAAACAAAGCAACAATCGTCATAGTGGAAGGGCCCACAATCACCAAGAGCAAAAAAGAAGTGGCAGGTCATGAGTTCAACAAAGAGCATGCTCATTGTTTTTTGTGACATGTAGCAGATTTTTCACCATGAATCTGTTACTCCTAACACTACTGTCAACTCTGACTTTTACTGTGACGTTTTGAGATGCTTGAGAGAAAATGTGAAGAAAAAGATCGGAACACTGGCGCAACAAACAACTGGCTCCTTCATCATGATGTGCCCACCCATGCATCCCTGAAAACCACAGAGTTTGTGACTAACAATAACATGGTTATCATTCCCCATCCTCCCTATTTGCTGGACTTAACTGCTTATATGGGCAGGGTTTGATTAACTTGTTCAAGCTTCTACAGTTGGTAGTCAATGTTACTTCCCTTGCTGTGTTCATATTTCTACCTGTCAGCTGTCATGACAGGTCCTTGTTACATAACTCTCATGAAATACAGAAACAGGATAGAAATAACAGTGCAATGAGGGATATAATATCAACTACCATTGACTATACAAGTAAGTGATTGAGGTTAGCTTTTTGTAAGGGACCCAACAGAGTAGGTGCCTTCCCCCCTCACCTGAGAATGGAAACAGATCCAGTTTCTGAAACGTTGTATTTTCTAGTTTCTAGAATATCAGGTATGAACAGTTCTGTTATCTGGGATATAATGTCTTGTAATCTGGTGAATGTCAACTGATATACTGGAGGAACACATTACTTTGACATGTTCCTCCAAAATATTAGCCAACTCTCACCAAACCATATGGCATTATATCCCAGATGACTTCACAGCCACCACTGAGAGTACCTAAAATCCAACATTTTTATGCAATACTTTATTACATAACATCTGACAAAGTACTTGGTATTGGGGGCATGTGAATACAGTATCTTAGCATTTTAACCATTCTTTAAAAGTCCTGACTGATGAGGTTACAATAAGAATCAATACAACCGTTCACGGACTAAATGTGAACCCATTTCAAAGAAAGAATGACGATGATCCAATAGGGTTAAAACATGTCAAATGTTACACTGTTAATATGAGCATAATAAAAAGCTTGTTGGATATATTTATTTCCCAAAAATTAATATAACTACATGATATGAAGAGAATGATATTTAATAACATCTCATCAGCTGCAAAGTTTATATAATGCTGAACGAGAAATCAATCACAGAAGTTGAACTGCAAAGGATCAGAAAGTACACCGTCAAACCCTATCTGAAGATACTATCCCAGAAGGGGGAAGCAGAAAAGCTTCAAAAGCGCTGTCAGAAGAGCTGCTTGACCAGCTGGACAGTGCATCTATGCTGTTACAATAATGCAATGTGAAGTGCCATTGAAGGTTACACATAAGGTCACTTCATTTTACATGACATCTTGATGCTGTGTTTCTTGTTTTTAAAGCAAAAACGTCATTCCACTCTAGATGTCATTAGCCCTCAACTACCGAATCAACTAGCCTTTTCCATTTTTACTACAAGCCAGGTATGCCAGTGCTGAAAATTGTATCTGTGAACTTTCGAATGTTTGTTTTCCTGGATGACACCTTCTATTTGTATCCTATTTAGCTAACTGTTATCATCTAATTATTACTGTAATTCTTATATTTTAGCCTTTGTGTACTTTTAGTTCTCACCTACTGAAAGCTCTTGCTGTTGGTGAGCCCTCTAACAAAAGGACCACGATTATTAATTACTGTTATTGCTAATATGGAATAATGTGTTTCTGGACTTTGTCCATCTTCTGGTATTCTAAAGAACACTAAAGAACAGAATATTTCAGATAATGCATCTGTTTCTGCCCTCAGTTGAGAGGGTGCAAGACACCTACTCTGTTCAGCACATTAGAAAGAGCTAATTTCAGTCACTGGACCTCTCTATCTAATGGATCCAACAGAGTAGGTGATGCTGCAAAACTTCACTTCCTTAATAATCAATATGAGTTTTATATAATTTTGCAGAGCTCTATTTACACAATGACGTCGGTTCTATAATTTCCGCTGAATGTTATTAAATTTTTTAGCCTGTTGAAAATGGCCACTTCAACTGTAACACATTGTGCTTCTGTAGGAAAAAAATCTCAAGAACAGCTGACTTCCATGATCATGTGGCTACTGAATGAAGGCAACTGCCATTTTGACAACATGCTGACTTCGGTTCTGGTACTGTGTTTGTGAAAAAAACAACACAGGCATGGCAAAGGTTGTGATTCTAAGATGAAAATGCTTCTGCTAAAAGGCAACAATGACTGTAATATTTATACTGTCAAACAATGCTAATTCAATAAACAACCCCTCATTATAGTCATGCAACGGATAAGTACACAGGGAGAAGTTGGTTAACATCGACATGCCATCTCATTCAACTACAAATGAAAAGTCATCAAGAATTGGTAATGACATTTTTTCTATTTGTAAACATTCTAACAGAGATGAGGAGAGCAGAAAACTTGGAGTGGTGACTAAATTCTGTCTCACCTTGTACCCAATCACTTCATAAAGTTATAAAAAAAATTCTAAAAATGAACTTCAATAACATGATCACAGGAAAGAGTCCTGCTAGATGAATGTGGCCAAATTAGGTACCACCTATAATACAATATGTTCTCTACAACAGCCAAAAAATCATTACCTTTCTTAAACGAGCTTCATATGTAGAAATATAACATGTTCAGTCTTACTGCTAAGGGTAAAACTGTAAATGCATGCAAAATATATGAACCCCAAGTCCAAAGCTCAACAAATTTAGGCTTGCCTTCAGAATATTGTGACATAAGCACTATGAGATCTTGCTGATACTGCTGTACACTGCTTTTGCAATAGCAAATGCCACTTGAAATGGTATGGTTATGGTAAAATGTGAATTGCCCAGAGGGTGTGGTATTTAAAAAAGAATTAGAGATGGGGTTAAATACATCATACAACATAGAGACACTAAGTTTGGAAGAGGTTAGGTTACTTCTATGGTTAATGTTTTAGTATGGTACAGCAGCTTAGATTTGAGCTTTGATTATAATATTAGTATGGTACGTGAAAATTAATCAATTCATGCCTCACAATTCCAAATATTGCTATCCATATTCAATCTTCGGAACTTTAATGGTCCTGTTACTTTGGTGATAGTACATGAAGCAGCCATGTCAAAGAAGAAACATCTTAAGCATGTTCATCATATACCATAGTATACCCAAATTGGGCAGGTATGACCTTAGGTTAAATTTTAACTTATCTGTAACACCTGCTTAACTATTCAAACTTAATTTATATGGAATATATTAAACGCCTATAAACGTCATGCTGCAACACTTTTGGCACTCAGGTTATGGAACTTCTGCCATATTCCTGCTCCCCACATTCTGCTGTAAAACACTTTTCACTGTATGAAATCAAAACCCCAATATATAAACACGCTTGCCAAAAGAGAATGATAATATTCTTCCAGATTCATATAACTTCAAAACGAAAAAAATATAAGCAAACAATCGATGCCATGCACAAACAAACATCATTAAACCTATTCCAAAAAGTTCCTCTCCCAATACTTAAAAGACCTAAAGTTAATAAAAGAAACGAGCTTTGTCTTTCTCACCAAAATAATTAAAACTGATGGCTTCAAGTTCGTATGAGGTGTCACTTCAGTTTATTTCAACAATATAGTCTAGCTAAGTAACAGGCTACTAAAATCTTTGGACCTTACATTTATGAAACTTTCTTTGTTTTCAGCCCATCTCGGTAGCCACGGTTTCGAACTTCCTTATTACTCGAATATTGTTTATGTCTACATTGAATATTTACTTCTAAACACCAATGACGTTGTTACATATTCTGTCTCATTTTTTATACCAACACAAAAGGTTTCCACTTGTCCACCATATTAGGTTTCTATTTTGCCCTAGCGCCACTGTCGGACAGTTTTTGATGGCGCTTTCTATCTCTAGTAATCAAGAAGATCAAGAATGCGGTGAAATTACAAAGTGAAACCAAAACTACGATTGGTGTTTACTTATGTGTATGAGTCAGGCGCCATAGACAATTCCATAGAAAAGAGACTTTCTTAACTTTGAAAGGGTTCATATCAGTATGAAAAGCGATTATTGGATTTTCCGTGGCACACAGCACTGAAACAGACTACACATGTACTAAATTTGTTTATTTAGCATCTTTATTTTGGGTACCACAACGCACCCGGTCCGAAAATCTGGCAGGGAGAATTCTAATACAATGATTGCTTAAGATACTGTACGTGTTTCGTACCGAAACGCGTTAGGCATGCACAGATTTTGTTAGCGTCCTTAGATGGAGTAATCCCACATTACACCTGGCCCGGAAATCAGATTGAAGTAAAACGAAACAGCAGTCTGCGTAACTGTTTATACTTTAATGTGCGAGGGCATACATTACATACTCCCCAGTTGTCAATTTGTACTTACAATAAAGAATGGGTTCCTAAAGCAGTCTATGGCAGCGTTTTCCAAATGGACGACTTAATTACGTGTGATATGACGCTGAAGGAATAAATTACATAATTCCGACAGTAAGCTGGTCTCGTAGTAAAAATGATTGCCTTAATCTGCGGCAGTTTTATTCCAAATGACGATTTAGTTTATTTAGTATTTATTTCGTCTCTACAGATCATTGTTACATGATATAGGACAAGTTTTGGGTGGTACTGTATAGCAATGAGTAGCCAGATTATATAGAATGTTCCTAAAAGAATGGCGGGGTTTTAGATACGTATATATTTCGTATTTCTTACCGTGTACAATCATAATATGTGTCAATCGGAAGCTTAACTGTCCAAATTTTATGTACATCCATCAAAGTGCCTCTATGTGCGCACCTTTCGTTACCCGGCACACATCAATACGATAGTCGAATTCCTGCCACACCCGCTGCAGTATTTCAGGTGTGATGGTCTCCGCAGCACGATTGATTCTGTTTCGGAGATCCTGGAGCGATTGGGGCAAAGGGGGGTACATAAACCATGTCCTTCACGTACGCCCACGAGAAGAAACCACATGGAGTTTTGTCCGGGAACCGGGGTGGCCACCGGAGAAGGGGGGGCATCTTCACCTGCAGCACGTCCAATCCATCGTTGCGGAAGAACCAGATTAAGCAAAAGTCTCACATCTGCGATGGAAATGTGGGGGAGCACCGTCCTGTTGGAAAATGTAATCAGTGGAATCGTGGCCCAGTTGTGGAAACAACCAACAATAGGCCTTCTCCTGCTGGGTCGCCATCTTACATTTCACGCCGCCTAACAGTCGGAAATGGAACCAGGAAAGAGCGCGATATACAAAATGAAAATTTGAGAGCCGCGTTATGAGTCCGTATACGTTTTGCTTTTCATCACCAAAAACTGACGGAGATATACGGCAACCAAACCCCATCATTCTTTTAGGAACACCCGCTATAACGTCGAATGGTAGATACATTTTCTAGGATTTGCCGGAAATGACCGTGGCCTGATCGTACTATGCCGCAATTTGGCCTCAGGGGCTGAGGAAAACCACGAAAGTACATTTCAGCGTAACCGGTGTACCAGCCAAGATTCGAACCAACCACATCTCTGAATATGTATAGTGCGTTATCGCTACAATACTTCGCTTGCTACTTCATGTCAGTCCACAACTTCTAGTTTAACATTTATGCAAAAGAAGAGACTTATATAAAACCTGACAATAACATCATGCCACTGAAGTCTATGCTACTTAAGGTTTTCCAACTAAAATGTATGGATGCTATATGCCACACTATCTCATCCTCCACCCTATTATGAATGGTGTAGTAGATCTTCAAGAATTAGTCTCTGCAAGTTCTTTTGAGGTTATACAGGGAGATGTTTTTATTTGTTGATTAGTTCATGGCTCTGCACTTCACAGTGACTAGTGCACTGCTGGTTATGAGGTACATGCAAATTTTGCTGATAAATCAGTATGCCTGAAGGCTGATAACATTCGGAATTAAGGGATTTTATTAACTCTTTGACTGGCGCGGGCGTGTTTTAACGCCCGGACGATGCCAGCCGTTCCCTGGCGTTGGCGTGTTTTAACGCTTTGACAATCTCGTCCCTTCTTTGCTCTCTTGGCACTCATCAACCAAAGACATATATATGATAGTTTTTGTGCATGTTTGTAAAGAACCCTTGTAAACTTTGTGGGGGTCTATATTACTGTCAGAACCCTCTGAGAAGGTAAAGGTCAGAAAATATTTCACATTCATTCAGTTTCACCATAGCTTCTTGCAGCAAGTGTCTTCGTGTTCCTACAGACCAGCTGGAAAATGTTGTGAACGAGATTTTTTCTGATGATGATAGTGGCGATGAAATAATGATTCCTGAATTGGATGAAGTTGATAGTGACAATAATACAGTGATAGGCAATGATCCACAAGACAGTAATCATGAACATTTACCTACCACGAGTGCGGTGCCTGACACGCCCATCTCATGAACGTACGGAGACATTGTACCCCCAATATTTCCATTTGCTAATAGTTTCGGGATCAAAATTGATATAACACATAAAATGCATCCCTTTTCATGGATTAAAATTTTTTCTGGATGACGACTTGGTAAATCACATCACAACTGAAACCAATCGCTATGCTCACCAGCACTTCAACGCACATGAGTTAGCTCCTCACTCTCGAAAACACAATTACAATTATGTCACATCAGATGAAATCTGGACATACTTAGGAATTGTGTTCATGACAGGAATCGACAAACGCCCTGAAATTGAAGAATATTTGTCCACTAGGCCCATATTTCACACCCATGGTTTGGACCAAACATGTCTTTGCAGTTGAATAGTTTCATTCTATTCAAAAAGAACACAACAAACGAAAAATACAAGAAGAGAAATTACAGATTCAAAGATTTTATATTGGACTGTGTAGAAAAATGACTGAACCAAACAAACAGTGTGGAGAGGGAGAAAAGTCAAGGAATGAAGTGGATGACGAATCTATTGGGTCAGACTAGAGTGCAGTCACGCCTCCGCCCTCGACCTTGAAAAGACCACCAGTGAAAGAGCCAGCAAATCGTCTAGAGGGTGGCTTGAAAATTCACAAAATGGTCCATGTTCCTAACAGTAACAATAAGAAGAATGGTGCCCTGAGAAAGTGTCGCGTGAGTGCTAATTACAAGGTTAGAAAAGAAACAAGTATCATGTGTGCAGGCTGTGGTGTGGCTCTCTGCAAACTTTCATGTTTCAATGTTTATCACACGAAGAAAAACAAAGAAAGAGGTGTGGAAAAGCATTTATTGCATAAAATATTGTATTTTAATTAGTTCCTAAAAATTTCGTTTTTAAAAACCAATTTTTGTTGAAGTTGTTTAGGAAAAAGTAACAACATGCATTTTAGCGACATAAGGTTTAAAGGGCCTGCCAGGACAGGGGTGGGATTTAAATACCCTTCGCGCCAGTCAAAGAGTTAACTTTGTAAAGTGTTTGACAGCATTACGTTTCACAGTGAGCAGTGCAGTTCATGGGTGGGAATTTGTTTATGATTTCTCAGCAGTGGGTGGCTGTCATCAGCTCCATTAGCCATTTGCTGTCTGTTACAACTAGCGAGCAGTGTGTTCTGTCATGATGCAGTATACTTTAGAGCAATGTGTAATTCTGTATGACACCTACATGAAATATGGATCTGCTAGAAAGTGTCACAAAAATTTTGATGTAAATTTTGTGATGAAAGACTTCCCAGCAGACAAACAATTCAGTCTGGTTAATAACTGCAGAACAATGGTATTCTTTAATAAACAAAATTAGTGCCGAATGCTTACTGAGGAGAAGCTAGATGACATAGGGGCCAGACTTGAACACACACTTAGGAAATCACTAATGAAACATCTAGCTCAAGAGACTGCAGTGTCGAAGTCTAGCATGAGAAGGGCAACACAACTGCTGAAGCTTAGATCCTATAAAACAACAGTAATCCACCCCTTGCAGCTGGGCAACCCAGCTAGCAGCATTCATTTTTGAAGTTGGTTTCTATGGTTGTCAAAGATCAATCTGTAATTGACATTTATTTCTGACGAGGTGTGGTTTCACTTTCAGGGATACATAAATACACAAAGTAAGCACTACTGGAGTTCACAGAATCCACATCTGACCACAAAGTCATGCTCCACTCAGCGAAAGTGGGTGTCTGGTGTGCTGTACAGTATGCGCCAAAAATTCAGTACTGAAATGAAAATACATGCTGTTGATACCACTGTTTATTCATGTGAAGACCCTGTGCACGACAGAACCTTCTCAAATCCTGAAGAAATGGTCCGATCACCATGTCCCAGGGGCCTAATATACCGTGTGCTGCGATGGCACACCATATCGTCACATGTGTACTATGTACTGGTTTCTGGACGATAAGATCTGGCCACTCAAAACCAAGGAAACAAGTTGTCTGGCAACCACTTCTGTATGAGCAGAAATAATACTCAACTATGAATACTTTTTCCTCCGTCGAGAGATCCATTTCCAACAACTGCACAACACAACTTCCTTTTCACTACTGGGAACACATGTGGCTGGAGCTATGCCCCCTCGACAAACACACATGCATGTTTGAGATGCGCGATTTTCATTACTGTATATTTTGGCGCATACTTTAAGTGCTAGATGATGGTTGGACCTGTTTTTTTTAACAAAACAATTAATTGTAAAACATATATACAGGTCATTCTTTGGAAATTCTTTCAAGAGTTAACAGAGGAAGAAAGATTCTATGGCTGGCTTCAGCAAGACTCGGCTACTGCCCACACTGCACACGTCTATGTAGGCTTTGTCTGATGTCTTTGGGGACAGAACTATCAGCTTTTCTGGGGTTGTTTGAAGGACAAAGTTTACTACAGTAATCCAAAAACGGAAGAACTAAAGCAAAATATGTGTAGGGAAATTGCAAATATTCCCGCAGAAGAGCTCAGAGGGTAAATCAGAATCTCTTCCAGCCATGCGAGGAATGTCTACGTGCAGAGGGACAGCATTTTTAACACCTCCTTGTGATCTGTGAATTGTAACTACTTCATTCCGAATGTTATCAGCCAACAGGCATATTGATTAATCACAAAAATTAGTATGTGCCTCACAGCTGGTGGTGCACTGGTCACCGTGAAGTGCAGACCCATGAACCAGTCAATGATACCTGTATATCTGTAGAATGTAACACAATTTGCCAGCCAGACAAAATTCATATTCATCATTTCATTTTATGGTCATAATTAACAAACCATTAGACCTACAGATATGAAATTTTAAATATATAAACTGTAAATTTAGTACACAACTTTTTATGTGAAACATTTCAAACATGATACAAACATCTGAGGTTGTACAGGGAAACATACTATTGGCTATTATGCAGAAATGTGATCACTAACTTCCATAACTTATTAAACACCTTCAAGTAGGTGAAGCAGTTGAAGAGAAACTCATTCCAAATCTTCTAATCATATTGTAAATAAACACTTTTTGATGAGCAAGTAATGATAAAATTTGTAAACCACTATTTGTACTGAATAACATGAGGTAGGGTATGAGTCTGGAATGCCTCTGTGGTCTAGTGGTCATAGTTCTTGGCTACAGATCCAGAGGTCCCGGGTTCGATTCCCAGCGCCACCAGATTTTCTGAGAAGTAGTGGGTCTTGATCAGGGTCCACTCAGCTTTGTGAAGGTAACTGGGGAGGTATTTCAAGGAAATTGCGGCTCCAGTCTAGAAAACTGAGATCAACAGCCATGCAGATCCGCTGCACTGGCCTACTTTGCCTACAAGCGGTGGTTCCTCGGTTGGTATAGTTCACTTGCAGACTATAGGCCATGGACGGTATGAGTCTTCTGAAAACCAACTGCTGTGGCCATCTCTGAATCAGAAAGACTGGTGTATGACATATAGCTATCATTTCAAAACACTAGGTCTCAAATGAGTTTAATGGAAATTTGGTCATTGTCCAACCCTGTGAATCAGATAACAGCAGACCTAACTAACTTCATGGAGCTGAAGCCTATTTTATAAACATTTCACAGGTTTTTTATCTGATTTTTGAGGACTCTGACAATGTATACCCAGGCTGTTACATTAATGGTGGCCAAATTATCTGGCTGGCCATGCCAGTACTTCTCGAATACAACCTTTAGCAGTGGACCTGAACATCAAAATGAGGACAATTAACACTGAGATAATACAGATGAAATCACCAAAACTTAACATTAAACTAGAGAAATCTTAAATAAAGAAATCTTAAATGAGGATTACACTGTAATATTATGGTTTCCTTTTATTAACTGTTGTGGTTGAATGATTCAAGCAGTTAATACTTTAATTACGATTCACTTGGATGGTCAACTTAACACCCAACAACCTATATGGTCATATGCACTCTGCCACTTCAAGATATGTGCTCTTTCAACTAATTTTTCCTTAATGATACTGTAGATACACCACTGGCATAAGTTCAGGAGTATAATGCACTTAATATTTTGTATCAAGGTCTTTAAATCCATAGATAAAATTCTGTAGCTGACTTTCTTGTACTGTATTCTGGCACTGATCATAATTTTTCTACAGTTTTACAATTCTCAGACAATGCAGTTATAAAAGTTCTATCTCATGGGCTATGGTGCCATGCAAAAGATAAAGTAATTGTAAAGTTGTCCCTGTGCTTAACAAATTAAGCACTATGCCATGAAGACATATGGGAGAGTGGATATATAGATCACATTTTCTTGACCTCCCAGTGAAAGTCAACTGACGTTTCAGAGGAATATATCATCTCCATCTTTAGGGTTGAAGAGTAAAACAAGCAAGAGACCAGCATGAAGCAGACACCAAGCAGAGCAACTAGCTTGTGGGGGGGGGAAGGATTAAATCGTATGTGTACACTCAATTTAATTAGCCCAGGCATATGACCTACAACTGTAGTTCCTGTTGCATTGTCACTTCTGTTATCTGTTAAGCTGTCAGTATCTAGTAGTGACACAGCAATGATTAACTACCTCAGGGTTGCTGTCATTCCAGTTTTTAAGTAACTTGCCATGTCTCATGTATTTATTACATATGCAAAGCCGCCTATATAATGTAAAAGATATTGTTGAATTTGATGTTCTCACATTGTTGATTATAAAGATCTTCTGGGATGTGTCACTGTGTAGTCTACAGAAGATCACCGATGTTTCAGAGGAGCTTACTGCCTCTATCTTCAGAATAAAAGTATAAGCCATGAAAGCAACCAGCAAGAATGAGTCATTAACTTTTCTTCTTGCTTGGTTTACTCTTACTCTGAAGATGGAGGCAGTACGTTCCAATGAAATGTCAGTCAACATCTACCACACTACATGGTGCTGTAGACTGTTAACTACATGGGGGGGGGGCTAAAGAACAGTGTTTTACTTCATACAGAACAGTAAACCACAAAAAAAAAATCTAGGCTGATAAAGATACAGAATCCACAGAAAAGCTTGTATAGTAATGCTGCAAATTAGATACCTTTATGTACAGACACAAAACGGTTACAGATAAGTGAACCTGATACAGTGAGTGTATACTGTGAATCACACAGGTTAATACCAACAGATTCAAGTGCTCTATTTACACATAACATATTTTCTTTTAATGTAGCCACTGTCAAAGTATCCACAATAAAATACTGTTAATAATAGTCTGATAATAAGCATCACTACTTAGATTATAAGTTGTTTACATTCAATAATACAAATATGTCTGGAGAAACATTTTGCTCAACACAAAGGAACAGTGTATGTCACTTTTTATAAGTGGTTATATAAACAAAACTACTAACAAGTTGACTAGAATTATAATAAACAAATATATTTTGATACTGAGTCAATCTTGAATAATAAAGAAATTCATTACATTCACGCTTACAAATATATAGAGAGATCTTTGTCTAGTGAAAAATAACATCTGGAAAGAAGTAAAATGCCTGCTTTCCTTTCACTACCTACTGAGTATTTTATACAAGGACAGCAGAGAAAACACCACATCCAACAGTTCTTCTATTGTTGCACGTGTATTCCTTTCTATGGGAATGTGTTAACCAAGCCACTGCCTAGCACTGACAGGGACGAAAGGGATACACAGACAGCAAGGTGATCTCTTCTACCTCCTTTTATTTTTTGAAAATAAGGGAAGTATGCTAAAAGTTATCCCAACCTATAAATTTGGCACTGGCCATTAATGCATTAATCTTCAGATGTGGTCAAATATGACCAAAGCTAATTTTGGGGGGAAACAGGAATAACTTTACAAAAAAATAAACTGTCATCTCATCCTGCCTATTTTCAAAAGCTGTCACTTAACTTTCAGTAACATCAAAACATAAGTTTTCTGCTCTTAGCACTTAAAAACATAATCTGTCCAAATTTCATACTGATACCTGATTGGATTTTGATGAAAATTGGTTTTGCTGATCTGCAATGAAGTTTATGAACAAATTTAATTTAGTGCATACTGCAAATAACTTTGAAACATCACATTTGTATCTGTAATATAATAGGACTTACTACTGGTATTAATTTGTATTCTTTCTTCCTATTTTTTAAGAAAATACACAGAGTTTCATATTTTAAATGTTAAATCAGTTTTATAAAATATAAGTTTTACTGAAAATATAATGAAATTTAATACATACAAAATATTCATTCAAAACTTCAATATTTCAATGCATAAATGGTGATATCATGTAGGAACCAAAAGTAAATACAAACTGATAATTAAAGGACTTAACCAATTTTAGAGGAATATGGTGAACCTGCAAATTTAAAAATATAAAGAAGAAATAAAATATAATTGTCCTTTAAACAAAATGCATCAATGAGAAATAAATATCAAGGCTAATATGCCATGTAAAATTTGACCTCATCTAGCAACCAGCAATTCTTCTTTTTGGAATTACTGAACTTACAAAACTCGGCACAGTGTGTAAGAGGAAGACTAGACTGGTAACTGCTATAGCAGTGCTATGAATCATATTTGAAAAGTTTCTCTTGCCAATTTTGTGACAAGCCTTGTTTTATTACATATATTTATTTTTGGCAGTTTGTACTCTATATCCATATTCTATTTTTGTATCAAACAACAATCATTAAATAAATTAATACAATATATTAGGATATTAATATGCATGAAAACGAAGAGTAACTGTACTCTAAAAGAGTGTTAATCTTCTGCAGTTTACCAAATTCAAACTTCCAGTTTCTTTTACTAGCAGTGGCATTTCATACCAAGTAAGACGTACACGTACACATTTTTGTGTGTACTCATGTGGTCTGGACTGTCCTGTATATTTTGTGTACCACCTTACCAGCGTTCTTCCCTTTGAATTCAGACATTCACTTCTCAGAATAATCTGAAAGCCAAGGAGCAATGGTGAATCCTGGTCTAGAAGTTAAATCATGTGGAAATGCAACTGCATAACCTGGTGGTACTAATACTCTTTCTTTCTTTCATGGCAACAGTTGCAAAAGCACAGTTTTGGGACCCTCTGGCCCAGCACACACAAAGTCAAGATATGCTGTATTATATGTAACAAAATCCATCAGGTGATTGCAAGAAAAATATGTAGAGCTTTTCTTGAAGAGAGAAAATATTGTCATGTGTAGGGGGGCACGTGATGAAATGACAGGTTCTAGGTCGGATGATTGGATTTATTAACATCTTGGTTACACACTACCTTTTAATTACACTTGAACCACAGCACTATAGCTGATTTACACACACCTCATAATTCACTGTTGCATGCACATATGAAGTCTTGGAATCACATAGTAAATCTGCAGTGCTGACTTCTCAGCTATCACTCACTATCACGTCACACTTTACATCCTCACAGGCCGACCTCCTGTATTTTGTTCGCGTGCTTCTCTCATAATGCATAACTAGCTCCGACTCCGACTGACTTATTAGGAATTCCATATCCCCTACACATTTTAATTGGACAAGCGGAAAACACAACTTGCTTCACTGTTGTATGACGTCACAGCCTAGCACGGAAGGGCGTTTACTGAGCATTGCATAGCAATGGGCTAGGTGGGAGCGTATGTGATGTCGCTGGTGGAAATGCATAGGTCACATGACCCTTGCTCACTGTTGCGCAACTTAGCAACCAACTATTTATCAAGAGTTTGTCTTCATGGTAACTCGTTCAACATCTCGTTGCCTAGCAACAGGTTGACATGTCACACTGATCCCTCCTTAAGGCTATTTGTCCCAATCAACCTAATGGTGCATTATCATTCCTTTTCTTCTGAGGGGTGTGCTTGCAATATCATCATCTTCTCTGGCTGGGTGTTTCCTTCCTTCCTGTTGTCCGTTTTCCAACTGCTACATCTGCTCCCTCCTTAAGGCCAGCTTGTCCCAAGCAGTTCCAGGAGATCCAGATGTATTATCATCATCATTCAAAGTTCTTCCTCTCTATCTCTCTCTCTCTCTGTCTCTCCCCAGTGGGGGCTGTAACTCCTTGAGTGAGCGGTGTTCCCAATATCCGGCTCTTCCTACACTAATGCTGCTTCTTTTTTCTTTTTCACTTCGGAGGGGGCCAACCCCCCCACAAGGTCCATTTCCTCATTTTCCATAACCCCCTGGAAGTTCTTACTACATGTCCCATACTCTTCTCTCTGAAAATATCATATTTGTCCTTCTTGGGCATTCCTCCGCTTCCCAGAGGTGCTCGCTTTCCTGGGCTCCACCCTTCGATGCCATTCATGGTTGGGTCCTTTATTCCCGTTTTGTATTGGAAGCCTTTCCACTGTCTCTGTTCATCCTTCCCAGGTTTCTTGTACAGTACTGTCCTGGTTGAATCATTTCTTTGCGAAGTTTCCCTTGCGCTGTGCCACTCCTGCATAGTTGGTCATCTTTCTGTTGGTGGCCAATTCCTGCCGTGGTCCACAATTTCCCTGGGTAAAAATTTTTCTCAAAATACTCCTCTTCCACCATGCAACTGCTGCGCGGCGGGATCCCTTCCTGCAGGCAGCACCTAACTTCCTCCTGGATCCATAAATTCCTCTGGTCAGCTCCTTTGGCTCTCCACGTCACCCTCCAGCTTGCTTCTGGCCCCTATGCCACTTCTTCCATCCTTTGACCGGTTTCACTATGGCATCTTCCTCAGGGGTTTGCAGGTGTTCCACTTCAGATTCCATTCTGTCTGAGACTGGCTGCTTGCACTCCAGACATGCCTCCATTGTTTCTTGGCACGCCAGTCTCTCGTTTTGGCCACCTTGCTGCCACTGCTTCTTGGCCAGTTCTCATTTCAGCCATCCTCTTCTCCTCGTAGGCTTTCGTTTCTGCTCGCATGGCCTCTTTGATTTCATTCATTATTTCATGGGTGGCAAGTATAGCTTTTGTACTGGTGTCCATTTTGGCCTTCATTTGTTTTTGGCTGGCATTCATTTTTGCCAACATCCATTGTATCATCTGTTGCATTTCCATTGTGTGGCAATATAATACTCACACTTGTAAATTCAATAATTTGTTCTAAATGGTGGCATGTTTAAGGTCATAACCACTTTATGACACCGGTGAACTGGAAAATGTGTAAATCAGCAACCGCTCTATTGCATGTTTTTAAGTGTGATTAAGAGAGAGTGTCACCAAGCTGTTAATAAATATGATCATCCAAACTAGAACCCATCATTTCATCATGCGTACCTCTCCTACACATGACAATATTGTTCTGTTATGTTCCTCCATTTTTGTGGTCTGGTGGCACAATGGCTTCCAGACTGTAGTATTTTCCACTGCCAAGTAGCCATGGCTAAAAGGACTAACACATTCACTTTCAATGCCAAAAATAAATGCAAGTGACTCTTTTGAGACAATTGGATAACATCTGTTGGAAGAAACAGATACAATCTAGTGACCACCTATATTTCAGTACATTTTCATTATTGCCAGAAGGGCATGCTCACTTTGGTGGGAAATGTCATCACTAACACTGATGTTTTTACAGCCACCATTTTTTTAGTTGGCATAATACTTTTTATACAGGCATAAAGATATTCCCAGAACTAACCTGAAAGGTGCATTTATCAATTTACTACATCAGCACCCATACTCAAAGTCTCAGTCATTCCACCTATAATGACACTGCTCTCACACATCTCAAGCCCATGAGTAATCATTAAATTTGTTAATTACAGTTATCATAGTTAAAACTGGAAAACTATGATGGAGGTACTCTTAGTCCATATGTTACAAGCTACAAGTAAATAAACCTGTAAAGTATGGTCTTGTAAAATTATGTTGCACAGAGATATATGCACTTACATATGGTCTTGGGGGCATGAGGTAGCGTGGTTGGTTGAAGGACTATGCAACAAGCCAGAAGGTTGTGGGATTGAATCCCGATAAGGTGGACTTTTTCAATGTACCTAATCCTTCCAGCCACACTATGGCCCTGGGATCGACTCAGCCTCTTAACAAAAATGAGTACCAGGAATCTTCCTGGGGGTAAAGAGCAGCCGGTGCATAAGGCTGACAACCTCACTGCCATCTGTGAGCCGACTGTCTAGAAAATGTGGGAGCCTCAACATCTCACAACCCTATGGGACTCGACAACCTGTTACAAGGATACCTTTACCTACCTACATATGGTCTTGCAAAATTCTGTTGCACAGAGATATATCCACTTACATATACATGTGAAAAGTATGGCTTACCTCACAGATATATTTGAGAAACTAAATATCCTCAACACTTCACTTCAAGGGAATGAGGCAACTGTACTTTCTTGGAATGACAAAGTGAAGGCATTCATCAGAAAATTAGAGCTCTGGAGAAACAGTATGGAAAGCGACACGCTAGACATGTTCCCTACTCTGGTGTTAATGGTACAAGACATTGATAATCCAGTGCTTCCAATGGACATAAAAAGCTGCCTACTTGATCATCTCATAACGTTAAAAGTTCACTTCAACAGATACTTTTGCAATGATTCTGATGAATTTAATTGGATTAAAAATCCATTCAAAAATGCTCATGGGCCATCATCTCTAAATGTAAATGAGCAGGAAAAACTCATCGATCTCACTAGTGATACTTCATTAAAAAGTAATTTTAAGGAATTGTCTTTGCTGGAGTTCTGGATACATATTGGCAAGGAATTCCCAACTTTGAGCCAAAAAGCATGGAAGATCCTGATTCCTTTCGCAACAACTTACTTATGTCAGACAGGCTTTTCTGCTTTGTGCAGCTATAAAGTCAAAGTATTGTTCAAGACTAAATATTGCTAAAGAAGTTGGAGTGGCCATTTCTGATATTACACCACATTTTGATAAACTTTGTTCTCAAAAGCAGGCCCATCCATCACACTGAACTTTGACATTTAAATGTTTGATTTTCTTTGCAGAAAAAAATTAAATACTTGTTAGTTAAATATCGTTTCATTTAAATACATATTTTGGTTAATTGCAAATGTTAAAAAAAATTTATTGTAGGCCTAATATTGTGATACTTTAATTTGGAGTAAAAAAACTGCTAAATAGTATGTAGATAAACACAAAATAAACTGAATAAAACGTCAAACGTACCATGACTTCTATTTTGATAAAAAAAAACTAGCTGGGGGCCTGAGAGTATTTCCTCTTGTGAGGGGCAGCTCAGAGGTAAAAAGTTTGAGAACCACTGCACTACCACCTTTTCACTGACAGATACAGGGTTAGTCCGGAAAGTAATGCAATTTGTTTTTTCCCACCACTCCTCCTGGTCGCAGCGCGTTCGGACCGGTTCGGAAGGGGGGGGGAGACCCTTAGCTTCACAACGCTTCCAAGCTCAGTCTGCTCTGAGCTCTGGGAGCGTCAGGATCGCTGTTTCCGTGAACTTCCTGTTAGTGCCTCTGTCACGACGCGCAATGGAGAAAATTATCAAACAACATTGCGCGATCAAGTTCTGTGTTACACTGAACAAAAGCCTCGCCGACACCCACCAAATGATTCAGGAAGCCTATGGGGACTCTGCTCTCGCCTATTCTTAAGTATCCAGGTGGTTGAAGTTGTTTAAAAATGGTGGAGGATGACCCCTGCTCTGGATGGCCATCAACCAGCAAAAGTGACAAACATGTGTCTCATTTTCGTGTTTTTTTAAATACCGAACGTCAAATGAGTATTCGGATGACAGCGGAGACTCTCAGTATTCCGAAAACCACTGTGCATGACATCGTTACCGACAATTTGCACGTGTGGAAAGTGTGTGCCAAGTTGGTCCCCAAATTGTTGACTGACGACCACAAGAATAATCGAGTGACGATCGCGAGTGATCGAGGACTTCTTTTTGTTCCCGAGGAAGAAGACCGCCCTGAAAGGAACCCGTTTTGGAAATACTGAAGCGATCCGAACCGCTGTGACAAAGGCTCTA